CATCATCATCATCATCATCATCCTCATCCTCATCCTCATCCTCATCCTCATCCTCCTCCTCCTCCTCTTCTCCTCCTCCTCCTCCTCCTCCTCCTCCGCCTCTTCCTCCTCCTCCTCCTCCTCCTCCATCTCTCCGTCCCCCTCCCCGTCCTCCTCATCCTCCTCCTCCTCCTCCTCCTCCCCCGAATAGGTGAGGTGAACAGTGGACGTCCCCCGAATGGGGTCCTCAGGGTCTCGACCCACTCCTGGACCTGCCTACTCTGGGTTTCTTAATAAGATTGGGAGGGGTACCCCCCCGACGGGGGTCAACCTCGCCTCGTCGTCGCGCCGCGACGGGGGTCGGAGCGCCTTCGGCGCGCGGTGGCTGCCCGCTACGGGGGTCGATGTGGGGCTGTCGGCGGGGGTGACGCCCCCCCAACGCTTATTCAGAAACTCGGAGTAAGAGTGGCCTTTCGCCGGAGTGACCTTTGGCGCGGGCCCAACGGGTATCCCCCCCGATCGCTGATCGCGACGCGGTGGCAGCGGCTTGCGCGCCCGGGCTCTGCCGCCCCACGTCCCCCGTGAGGTCGCGCAGCAAAGGTTGCTCTTGACCAGGATCGCTCTTACGCGCGGCCGAGTGTTCGGGGAAGCGGAGCTTCCAGAGCAAACCTCGTCCATCCACACCGACTTTGGCCAGGCCAGCCCCTGCTCTGCGCCAAGGTGGCGCACCGCGGTCCAGATTCCCGGGGCCGGCCGGGCCAGCATCGGTGCGGGTGGGCAGCCAGATCCCTCCCGTACCGGGGAGGCCCGAGGTGGGAGCCAGAAGCATTGCCGGTTCTTCCATCTCCCCTTCCTCGTCTTCCTGCTCCTCCTGGAGGGGGATCTCTCGTGGGAAGCAGAATCGTTGATGGACGCCATGGGGGGGAGCATGCGGAGCCACCGTAGCAGGCAAACAGGGGCAGGGGAGGAGAAGCCGCGACGAGGACGTGGATGATCCTAGCGACCCTCCATTGCGGCTCCGCTCGAAGCTAAGGGGTGGGTGTCGCCTCTGATTGCGATGAGATTCCAGAGCGTCGCCGAGAGGTGAAGTACAGCAGAGTGAGCTGGAAGGCGGCGGTTGTGAGAGTGCGGTGGTGCAACAGCATCCGGAGCATTTGAACGTTGCTCGCGCAATGGGCCGTGCAGGAGGCAGAGCCACGCAGGAAGAATGAGACGCGCAATGTTCCATCATCGAGCCGTACATGGGGAAGCCGGCGGGAGGAGCTGAAGGAGGGATGAGGATGAGGATGAGGACGAGGATGAGGGGTGATGCGGGGGAGGAGAGAAATCGGAGGCTGCCAGAGGTGGTGTTGATCCAAGGTGCCCCCGGTGTTTCGCGCAACGCTGGTGCTCCTGAGGCCATCTGGACGTGGTGAGGCGTGCTGTGGAGGCCATCTCGGCGTCCCCCAGACAAGCTGGTGTCACCTTGGGCCAGGGTCAACTCTGGCAACGCCCCAAGGTGGAGGGGGGTTACGGAAGACCATGGTCTCACGCTGAAGCCTTTGCGAGCGAGAGTATCGTACAGGACATCTTTGCTCCTAGCGGCTGTTGCGCCGCCACCGTCATGCTTCTCGTCGTCGACCCACTTTTCCTGCTGACCATTCTGCTCATATCCCTTCGCTCCCCCGTATTATTATCCTCCTCCCTTGCTTTTCCCCTCCCTTCCGCCCTCATCCTCCCTTTCTTCTGAGATCCAGGACTCCTACCTCCATCCTCCTCCCACCTAGGTTCCGGAGGTCCAGGTCAGAAATTCAAAGTTTCACAGCTCGTGAAGTTTCTGAGAGCTTCTACGTATCGAGAGTGAACAACAGCCAGAAGCTTGAGCAGTATGCGTGACATCCTTGGCCCTGGATTTCCAGGTCTCCAAGCTGCCTGATCCGATAAGTATTGTCCCAGACATCCTGTGGTGTTGGGTCCTCGTTTTTAAGAGACAGCGCCCCGCGTTCTCCTCTTCTCCTCCCCCTCCTCCCTCCTCCCTCCCCCATGCCACATCGCGGCACACCCCTCACACGTTTCGTGGCCCCATAGGGAGCTCCACCAGAGGCCCCAGCGGTAGGGTCCGCATGGCGGCCCCGCGCCAATTTCGGCACACCCCTCACACGTTTCGCGGCCCTACAGGGAGTTCCACCGAAGGCACCAGCGGCAGGGTCCGCATGGCAGCCCCGCCCAATTTCGGCATACCCCTCACACGCGTCGTGGCCCCACAAGGAAATGCACGGGAGCCCTCAGCGGCAGGGTCCGCATGATGGCCACGCACCCGATCCAGCACACCCATCATACGCTTCGTGGCCTTAGAGGGAGTTCCACCGAAGGCCCCAGCGGCAGGGTCCGCATGGCGGCACCGCATTCGATTCGGCACACCCCTCACACGTTTCGTCACCCCACAGGGAGCTCAACCGAAGGCCGCGGTGGCACGGTCCGCATGGCGGCCCCGCACCAGATTCTGCACACCCCTCACACGTGTCGTGGCCCCCTAATGAGCTCCACCGGAGGCCGCAGCGGCAGGGTCCGCATTGCGGCCCCGCATCCGATGCGGCACACCCCTCACACGTTTCGCGACCTCACAGGGAGCTCCGCCGAAGGCCCCGGCGGCAGGGTCCGCATGGCGGCCCCGCATCCGATTCGATTCCTCACACGTTTCGCGGCCCTGTAGGGAGCTCCACCGAAGGCCGCGGTGGCAGGGTCCACGTGGCAACCCCGCAACAATCTCTGCACACCCCTCGCACGTGTCGTGGCCCCATAGGGAGCTCCACCAGAGGCCCCAGCGGCAGGGTCCGCATGGCGGCCCCGCAGCCCATTTCGGCACACCCCTCACACGTTTCGCGGCCCCATGGGGTCCTGCCCCTCCTTCGTCCCACCTGCCTTACGGCCCTCGCACCCGCATATGGTTGGGCATTTCGCCCGGATAAGTTGCACGTTTTGGGGATGTTTGGATTCGTTTACAACACATTCGGCACCATGGCATTATGCACGTGGCACCTCGCACATGGCAAAAAACACGGGGCACCACAGAAGGGGTTGCAGCAATGGCACGGCACGACACGACACGACGCGCATGTACATGACCCCCACGACGACGGCCCTTACGTACATAGCACCACGCATGTAGTACTGGTGGACATACGGCGCTGACACAGAGATCGAATTTCCATTCACATACGTTGAGTGTGCACCCATGTTAAAGAAGCCGATCATATTTAGTCACATGAGCCAGGAATGATGTCCACATCACCCTAGATGCCGCCATTGCTTGCAGTGCGATTGAAGTGCACGTAGGCTTGTGATTGTGCGAACGACCCCCAGCCAGGGCCATATGGGAGTGGGTGCTCGCTGGCGGCGTTCTCCTGACTATATGGTGCCCCGCTCTGCGAATTGCTCGGCATCGGGCGGCGTAGACTTGCCATTGTGGATGTGTTCACGCAGTCTTCCCTGCGACAAGTTTGACTTACCCAGCGATGTCGTGAAAAACCTGGCCCACCTGAGAGGTAGGACGTATACCAGAAGAGATGCATGTGGAAAACAAGTCAGTAACGGTCGATGTGCGTCCACTATGCAATTATAGGCTTTCTGTTCAGGGCATAGTTTTGATCTGAAACAGTGGTGAATTGAAGCATTATGTTGGTTTGAGTTGTTTGTGCAGTGCACTCAATGCTACCATATAACCGATGCAGCCTGGTTGCAGCTTATCTTAGCCAGCACTGTGGTGTATAATGACGTTGCCTTGGTAGACGACGATATAGTGCAATGTGCACGTGCGTCAGCTACAGTTGCTAGCTCCTTGTGTGTGTGCTTTGCAGTGATGTCTGCACGCTGTGCATATGTTCGTCAAGTGTACAATTCACTCGCAATTCGCATGCGTTGCGTTGGCTGCGCCTTCTCATACATCCAATTCGTAGGCCTGCCTGGTGAGCCTTCTTGTGGTAATTTGACGCGTGCCCACATCAGTCCAGCAGACTATCACCCGTTTGGCTCTGTGACCTGTGCACGTATTCCGCAGGTGCATCTCTGTTTGGAGGCATAATCGGCGAGAGTGGCTACAGGCCAGCATATGTCCTCGTCTTTGTTCAGTGTCCCTCTCTCTCTCTCTCGCTCTCTCTCTCTCTCTCTCTCTCTCTCTCGCTTCCCCCAAGGCTGAATGATGGATTGGCCCCGTCTCGTATTGGCATCGTCCCGCTGCGTACGGTCGCGCGTCTGATGTATTTTATTTCCACAACACAGGATCGCTACCATCCTTGTCCGAATGCCATACGGTATAGTATTGGTTCCCTCTGTCTCTGTCTATTTCTCCTTCTCTCTCTCTCTCTCTCTCTCTCTCTCTCTCTCCCTCTCACTATTCCCTACACACTCTCTCTCTCTCTCTTTCTCTCTCTATCTCTCTCTCTTTCTCTCTCTCTCTCTCTCTCCCTCTCTCTCTCTCTCTCTCTCTCTCTCTCTCTCTTTCTCTCTATATCCCTCGCTCTCTTTTCTCTCTCTTCCTCTCCCTTCCTCTCCCTCCTTCTACATGTCTGTGTGCGTGTGTCAGTTGTACACATCTCGATGTATATATACTTGTGTTGTCTCTCTACATGTGTCCCTCCCTCTCCCGATATCTTTCTGTATATATCTGGATTCCTCTCTGTTTCTCTCTCTCTCTCGTTCTCTCTCTCTCTCTCTCTCTTCTTCTCTCTCTTCCTCTCTCTCTCTCTCTATTCTGCTTGTTGTGTATATATGTATACATGTCCCTATTGCTATATCTCTCTCTGTGAGTCTCTCTCTGTCTCTCTGTAGCTATGTATATGTATAGACCGACATACATATATACATATATGCCATATATGCTCAATTATGTTCAGATACATACACATATACATACATGCATACATGCAGACATGCATACAAACGTACATACATACAAATTTACAGACAGACAGCCAGACACACAGACACACAGACAGACAGACAGCCAGACAGACAGACAAACAGACAGGCACACTGACAGACAGACAGCCAGACAGTCAGACAACCAGACGGACATGCAAGCATGTGTACATGGGTACAGATTTGCCAGTATCGAAGTACTGGCAAATATGTACAATATCTCTCTCTCTTTCTCTCTCTCTCTCTCTCTATCTCTCTCTCTCTCTCCCTCTCTTTCACGATCTATATATATGTGTGTGTTTCTCCCTTTCTGTATGTATTCAATGGTCTTCACCCCATCCCGCCACCGTGCCTGGGCTGTGGGCCACAGGCATCTAGGGTGTTCGTTGGAGGCCTCTCGGGGGCCTGTGCGCTAGGATCGGTGGCAAGCGAGGGGGGGGCATGAGAAGGAGAAGGCCTTATCAGAAGGCAGTCGGACTGCTCAGAAAACCGTCGCGCCTTCCGAGAAGTTTCCTGTGTCTTCGGGGCAAGCTTAGAAAGCTTCTCAGAAAGCTGTGAACTTCCGAGCCTTCTGCGAAGGCCCTCTCGTTCTCACTTCCCCCCCCCTCGCTCGCCGCCAATAGGAGGTGGATCATTTGCAGCTCCTGTGCATGCTCCCCAGACCATGTGGAAGATGTGTCCGTTGCAACCTGGCAGCCTGCAGGGCCTGTGCTCTGCAACGGGCGCTGATCTGGCAGGCAGCCTCCTGGGCACAGGCTCAAGCTGGCAACAGAGCAAGAAAGATTGGGAACAACCAGCAGTGGGAGAACACGTCTGATTGAGACTGGCGGAGCCTCTGAGCAGGACCGAAGCCATCAACTCCTATTGCCTTGGGCGGCGCAGATTGAGCCGCTTTGCAGCCTCCGACGTGGGTGCGCAGCGGCCACGGGAACGGAATACGTTGGGCGAGGGGTGTGGGGCTATCCGAGGGGGCCGGCTCGCGCGATCGGCGTCGGGAAATGATCTTCCTGCTCATCCGACTCCTCGTCATCCTCCTCCTCCTCCTCATGATCATCATCCTCCACTTCTCGGCGACGAGGAAGACTAGGAGAGCGAAAGCGAGGAGGAGGAGGAAGAGGAGGCCGGTGACGGCGACGAGGAGGAGCGCCTCCGACTTTCGACGCGGTGACCCCCGGGCGCTCGGCCCCATCCCCGAGGGCCAGCTGCTCGTCCCAGGCCATGTCTTCACGCCTAGCAGCGCCGGGAGCGGGCCCGGGGGCCCAGCCCTCCGACGTCGTGGTTGTCCCAACCATCTTGTGGTGTTGGGCTCTCGTTTTGAATTAGCAGCGCCCCGCGTCTCCTCTCCTCCTCTCCTTCTCCTCTCCTCCTCCCTCCTCCTCCCCTTGGCTCGAGCTCCCAAGCGGTCTAGACCCGAGCTCAAGGGGGGCATGTATATTTGCTTGCTTACTCGCATACACGTGTGGGTCGCTTGGGAGCGCAGAGAACATCAGGAGCATGAGGAAGGACTCCCTCCTCCTGCCGCTGCTCTCCGCATGTCCGCATCGTCATCAGTGCCCATCGTTGCCTCTGCCCTTCGTAGTTCCGTGTCGGCACGCCCCTCACACGTTTCGTGGCCCCACGGGGAGCTCCACCTCAGGCCCAAGCGGCGACGATCGCATGCGGTTCCCCGCCCACGTCGCTGCACCACGATGGGCCCCTCACACGTTGCGTGGCTCCACGGGGAGTTCCACCTTAAGGCTCCAGTGGCGATGTTCGCGGGTGGTTCCCCGCCCACTTGCAGCCCATGTCGGCACACCTCGCACGCGCCTCGTGGCCACGTGGGGAGCTCCACCGCAGGGGCAGGCGCCCCGCGGTGCGGCCCCGTGCGCACGCAAGCGCCCGCCCCGCTCGGCGGCCAGAGGCCCTGCCCCTCGCAATCTGGCAGGAGCACCGGGACTACGTGGCGCCGATGGGGCTCTCGCGCGGGGGGGGGGCGGGAGGAGAAGTGGAGGAGCGAGGAGGAGGAATCAGAGGAGGAAAAGGTACCCATACCGCTATCCTCCGCCCGGTCTTCCCTTTTCGGGCCTCCTGGGAGGCCCTCGTCGCCACCGCTGGATGCGCCTCGAAATCCTCGTCACAGAGCACCTCAGGAGAGGTAGGTCCGGGCAGTAGCAGTATCGATATCTTTTGAACCTTTTGGTTTTCCCAAGGAAGCAGGAGGAAGGAGGAGGAGGAGGAGGAGGAGGAAGAGGAGAAGGAGGAGGAGGAGGAGGAAGAGGAGGAGGAGGAAGGGATGAATTAGTGAGTGTCTTGGTCGAGGGGTGGGTGCGGGAGGAGGCGTGGAGGAGCGAGGAGGAGGAAGCAGGAGGAAGGAGGAGAGAAGAGGAGGAGGCGGAAGAGGGGGAGTGAGGAATGGATGAGTGAATGTCTTGTTCGGGGGGGGATCCCCCAGAGCTGGTTGATGGCGCCGGCGCCGCTCTTCGCTTCCTCTCTCTTTCTCCCCTCCTCCGCAGCCACTCGGGTTCGAGCCTCTCTACTTTTGCGCGAGGGGGGTCCCCCCTGTACTCGCGCCGCCGCGGCGTGCGGCGGCTTCTGACGGCGACCCTCCTGCTGGGCCAGAGCGCCCTGGATCACGCGCTGGCGCAAGCCTGGGTCCAGGCTGCACCCCAGCCGTGGGAAGCGGAAGCGGCCCCCCCCCCGCCCACCATAGTGAGGCGGTCGCAGATGCGGCCAGCCGTCGGAGGGCATCGCTCCAGGGCGAGCCCTCGCGGACGGCTGGCCCGGCCCACAACCCCAGGGGCTGGAGCTGTTGGGGCACGGGCGCCACCCAGCGAGTCCAGCCCCAGGGCAGTCAAGGAGAAGGAGGCCCGCTCCCGCCGCCGGTGGGCCGGTAGGCTGGGGTGCGCGCAACCCCTCCCCACGGAGGAGGGGTCACCCGAGCTCGATGTCGGGGCGCCGTGATCGGAGGAGCCGCCCGGTCCTGGGGCGCGACAGGGTGGCAGGGCCCCGCCCCGCTCACAGGAGGGCCTGCCCGGACGCGCAGGGGGGGCGAGCTTGGCCTTCATCGTCTGCTGCCCCGCCCCCCCCCCCCCGGGAGGAAAACGAGGATCAGCGCTTCGTAGCTCTGCTCACCGACTGGGGGGCGATCGGCCGGGGTGGGCCAGGGGGGACCGGCTCAGCCGCCCTGCTGCCTGCGTTGGGCTTGGACCCCTGGAGGCCACGCCGCGCTCAGAGGTCAGGATGAGATGGGTGGATCCTCCTCCTCCTCCTCCTCCTCCTCCTCCTCCTCCTCCTCCTCCTCCTCCTCTCCTCCTCCTCCTCCTCCTCCTCCTCCTCCCCTCCTCCTCCTCCTCCTCCTCCTCCTCCTCCTCCTCCTCCTCCTCCTCCTCCTCCTCCTCCTCCTCCCTCCTCCTCCTCCTCCTCCTCCTCCTCCTCCTCCTCCTCCCTCCTCCTCCTCCTCCTCCTCCTCCTCCTCCTCCATGCGCACTACACCACCCACCTGCACCGCACCGCTCGTCGGCTCCTCGGGGCCCGCCCCTGGGGATTCCCGGGCCCTCCGTCCCAGCACCTCGTCGGGGCCTTTGCGCCAGTTGGCCCAGTCATCGTGGCGAACCTCGGCCTCGCGCTGGCCCTCCGAGCCGGGCTGTGGATAGTGCGCCAGGCCTGGTGGCTCGCTGAGGCGCCCTCGGACGACCCCGGAGATGGCGGAGCTCGAGAACCTCGATTGGCGGGGCCCTGATGGTCGCCGCCCTGCCACCTCCAGCCACTACCGAGATGTGTCGCCGCGCCGTTTGTTCCGACGCGCGGCCTTCCATCTTGGGGAGGGCGCCGCGACCACCAGGGCAAACTCCAGCTCGGACGCAGGGCTTGCCGAGGTGCTGGCTGTCTCTCCATGGGGCGCAGGACGCTGGGTTTGCCGTCGGTTTGCCGTGATGCCACCCCCCTGGGGCAGCTCGTAGGGTTGGAAACCACAAGAGAGGAACGGGTATCTCCCAGGAAGGGGACTTGCGGAGGACACCAAACATGAGTGGCAACAAGCACTGCAGTATTCTACTCACGCTCTTGGTCGTATACTTCGCAGCCGCTGCATAGAATCTCAGGGGTGAACTGCACGCGTGTTGATGTGTACGTTGCCTCTCGTCTGGGATACAGCCAGGGTATGAGGATGAATAGAAAGAGCAGCAGAGTCAGTGGTAGAAGTAGCCAAAGCAGTAGAGGAGAGGAGATAGGACAGCATGAAGTGCCCCTGCGACAGGCTACTCCTGTCGCCCTTCTTTTTCGGGAACGTGCCGTTCAAGGAGGCCTCTACCCCTAATCCTCGCCAGGGAGTTGAAGAGGAGCGAAAGGAGAGGTTATTGACGAAGACTCCTTGTTCGATTGTTCCAACAGCATAGACTTTCGATCGATTCAAACGTATCCCAATCCAGTAACGGGTTCGTTGCTGAACGTCTATATTGGCGCCGCTTTCGCTGGACACATCGGACTCCAAAGCAACAGACACGCTTTCCAAACGCAGGCATGACATTGAGCAGTGCTCATAGCCACCATTACCGCACACGCACACAGTGGTGTCTCTCGATCCTTTACTAGTCCTCAAACCGTGTTTGCATGTAAGGCGTCTTACTTTTGTCACTCAGGAGTTCGATGGGTCCAACGAGGTTTCGCCGCGACGCCGCCCGTGGTCGCCTCGTGACCGCCTCGTTGCCGCCGATTTGGAGGGTCTGGTGAGGTTTCGCCGAGTCGCCGCCCGTGGCCGCCTCGTTGCCGCCGCCTTGGGGAGTCCGCTGAGGTTTCGATGCGTGGCCGCCTCGTTGCCGCCCACTTGGGAGGTCCCCTGAGGTTTCGCCCAATCGCCGCCCCTTACTGGATCTTACTGGTTGGGTCACCCGAGATTTCGCCGCGTCGCCGCCCGTTGTCGCTTCGTTGTCGCCCACTTGGGGAGTCCGCTGAGGTTTCGCTGCGTGGCCGGCTCGTTGCCACCTATTTGGGGGGTCCGCCGAGGTTTCGCCGCGACGCCGCCCGTGGCCGCCTCGTTGTCGCCCACTTAGGGAGTCCGCTGAGGTTTCGCATTGTGGCCGCCTCGTCGACGCCCACTTGGGGGGGTCCGCCGAGGTTTTACCGCGTCGCCGCCCGTGGCCACCTCGTTGTCGCCAATCTGGTGGGTCCGCCGAGGTTTCGCCGCGTTGCCTCTCGTAGCAGTCTCGTTGCCGCCTACTTATTGGGTGGGGTCCGCCGAGGTTTCGCCGCGTGGCCGCGTCGTTGTCGCCCACTTAATGGTTGGGTCCACCGAGGTTTCGCCGCGTCGCCGCCCATGGGCGCGTCGTTGCCGCCCACCTGCGGGGTCCGCTGAGGTTTCGCCGCGTCGCCACCGGTGGCCGCCTGGTGGCCGTCTCGTTGTCGCCGGCTTGGGGGGTCCGCCGATGTTCTGCCGCGTCGCCGCCCGTGGCCGACTCGTTGCCGCCCCCGGGGCTTTGGGGGTCCGCTGGGGTGTCACCGCCTCGCCGCCCGAGGCCACCTCGTTGCCGCCCTCCGCGCGTGGGGGGTCCGCCGAGATTTCGCCACGTTGCCAAACGTGGCGGGCCCCTTGCCGCCCACCGCTTCGTGTTTGCGTATAGGGGTCCCCATCCCCCGAAGCACTGCGTGCACTGAGGGTGTCTCAGTCTTGCCACTCGGGGATCGGATGGGTCCGCCGAGGATTCGCCACGTTGCCGCCCAATGCCGCCTCGTTGCTGATTCGGGGATCCGCGCCACGTTGCCGCCCGTAGCCGCCTCGTTACCGCTTGGGGGATCCGCCGAGGGTTCACCACGTTGGTGCCCGTTGCCGCCTCCTTTCCGCTTGGGGGTGTCCGCCGAGGGTTCGCCACGTTGCCGCCTCGTTGGCGCGTCAACACATAGCTCGCACCACGTATATTGTGCCACAGAGCTTACACCACATGGCTTACACATCCACATTGCAGTAGCTTACTGTTTGAGAAGCACGCTGGTTAACATTCAAGGATTGCGCTGGTCGCGGAGGCTCACACAGGATGGAAATGTGCCCAGGCATGTGTTCCTGGAACGCTGTGAAGCGTTATACGAGTTGCTTTGTGAGCTCGCACCAAAGTTAAGAATGATATTCGATTGCATTGACAGAAGACTCTGCACTCTACCATGAAAGACTCCAGGGAAAGCGGCACTCTCATGAGCCCTCTAGTATTGCAGCCGAGGTTATTGTTCCGAATTTTGTCGTGGCCAGTCCTCCCACAGCCGTCAGCACAATTGCGTCCGAACGCATGTTGCAGCTCATTTCCTCTCCCTCATCGTCATGATTCGTTCGCTTTGGTCTGGCGAGCAGGTGGTCCAGTGGATGCGGACAGCCATCAAAGAGTACGAGTGAGCGGCTGTCAGGCATGACCGATGGGATCGAAGAGGAAGAAGAAGAGGAAGAAGGCGGAAGGAAAAATTAGATAAGGACAGAGAAGAGAAGAAGAAGTAAAAGTAGAAGAAGGGCAGTAGGGTGGCAGGAGCAGGAGCAGGAGCAGGAGAAGGAGCAGCAGTAGCAGCAGGAGAAGGAGTGGACGGGAGGAAGAGGGGAAGGGGAAGAGAGAGAGGAGAGAGGAGGGAGGGGGAGCAGGAGGAGAGGGGGGGGAGGAGGAGGAGGAGGAGGAGGAGGAGGAGGAGGGGGAGAAGGAGGAGGAGGAGGAGGAGGAGGAGGAGGAGGAGGAGGAGGAAGGGGACAAGGGGACGAAGGGGACGAAGGGGACGAAGGGGACGAAGGGGACGAAGGGGACGAAGGGGGACAGGGGAGAATGGGCGAAAGAGGAGAGGCGGAGGAGGAGGAGGAGGAGGAGAGGAAAGAGGAAGAGGAGGAGGAGGAGGAGGAGGGTAAAAAGGAGGCTTGAAGATTTGCAGACTAAATCGGGGTGCAAGCCCCCGCTCGCCACGTCGGCCGCAAGCGCCGACAGGAGGTCCGCACGCTCCAGTCGGCTGGGGGCGGACCCCGCAGGGCCCGCCGAGAAAGCCACAAGGCCCAAAAACCGAAAAGCCCGGAGAAACGATCCCCAGGGAGCCCCAGGATGGGCGGGTCGGGTCGGGTCGGGTCGGGCCGTGCGGGCGGCGGGGCCAGACGGGCGGGTCGGGTCGGGCGGGTCGGACCGGACGGGCCCTGACGGGCGGGTCGGGTCGGGCAGGTCAGGTCGGGTCGGGCGGGTCGGGTCGGGTGGGGCCTGACGGGCGGGTCGGGTCGAGCCGGGCGGGCCCTCACGGGCGTGTCGACCCCCAGATTGCAGCGCGTGAACCCCCCCGCCACCTGCAGTGCTTCCTGATCGCCCGCGAGCCGCGGCGTGACGACCCAGCGCTGCGCTTCTCGGTCCGCTCTCCTGCTCCTCGTGCCACTGCAAGGGCTCGCCCAGATTCTTTACAGCGCCTTCTGAGCCCACGAAGCCCTCAAAGAGGGCATCAGCGTCGACGGCATCGTCGCAGACGTCGGAGAGGCAGATCTCCTGCTCGCCATCCTCGGCCGTCGGTACGTGTTGGGTAGGGGCGCACGCGCCTCCCTGCCTTCGATCTCGCTCTCGTCCTCGCGCATCTCCTCTAACTTTGGGAAGGGCGGCACCGACGCGAGGGGGATTACATCACCGCCATCCCTATCATCTTCTTCGTCCCCAGAAGACGCCAGCTCCTCGCACTGGTTGCCCACCTAGACTGCGGAGCTGAGCTCCTCTTTGCCCGACGCGCGCAGACAGAGGGGGCCCTCCTTGCGCGGTGCCTCCCCCTTCTCCTTCTCAGGTGTTCGAATTCACTTGGCCATTACGGTAAGCGACAGCTCGCCAGGCTTGCCCGAGGCGAATCCCTTGGCACGAGCAAGCTTGCCAAGAGTCAGCTGCAGTCGAAGAGAGTGCTGAAGTAGCACGAGTGAGTACAGACAAGCCACTGGCAGGTGACAACCAAAAAAACATACCCCTTCTCCTTCTCTTTCCCCTCCTCCTCTTCCTCCTCCTCCTCTTCCTTCTCCTCCTCCTCCTCCTCCTCCTCCTCCTTCTCCTCCCCCTCCCCCTCCTCCTCCTCCTCCTCCTCCCTCCTCCTCCTCCTCCTCCTCCTCCCCCTCCTCCTCCCCTCCTCCTCCTGCTCCTCCTCCTCCCCTCCTCTCCCCCTCCTCCTCCTCCTCCTCCTCCTCCTCCTCCTCCTCCTCCTCCTCCTCCTCCTCCTCGTCCTCCTCCTCCTCCTCATCCTCCTCCTCCTCCTGCTCATCCTGCATTCCTCGATCGTGGACTCCCACCTCTCCCCGCCTGCCTCCCTGAACGCGGTGAGAATGCCTGGGGCTCACCTCGCTGATCCCCTTTGGACATCAGGTCATCAGATGGAGCCTTCGTTACGACGAGATGCCCACCCAACGACACAGCACAACTGATGCACGACGATTCCAACAACAAGGATCCCTCCCCCTCCTCCTCCGCCCTTCTGTTTCACGTATGTTTTAAAACGAATATAGATATATATACACACACACATGTTCCGCAGTCATGCCTCACCATACACCATAGTATTTTGGAGGCCACGGCCTCACTCACCTGGTCTCAAGTAGGCCCAGACTGCTGTCCGCATTGGTGGTCGTTCATTCGTTCGTTCGTTGACCAGGTCAAACGTCATGGAATTGTCATCCTCGTCCGCCCCGTCAGCGACTCCGCCTCTCGGAACATGATGGAACGCACCGACCCCGTGACATCCTGCAGCTCCACAGAGAAAGCCTGGACGCGCTTCTTCGACGCCCTCAGCCGTGCCCAAGTTCAGCTCGATGCCATTCGTCAGGGACGGTTGGTGGCCCCTGAAGTCAAACAGCTTGACCACCTTCCTGCCCATACGCACTCCGATGAAATAGCTGCCGTCCTGAATACCGACGGTGCTCTGAATTCCCATCTTGTCCATGCTCATCTCCGCCTGGTACACGGAGCCCTTGCCCGACGCCGTCCTGGTACCACTCGAGGAGATCGTCAATGTCGCCATCCTCCTCATCGCTGTCGTTGTTCAGTTTACCTCCAAGGGTGAAGAACTGCGCGACCGCTTGCTCTTCTAGCCTTTATTGGCCTTTTCCGCCGCCCTCCGCTCGATGACCGAGCTCGGCGCCGGATGCTTGGGGCAGGCGCCCACCCAGCTCTGAGGAGGCCGTCGCCGTCGCCTGTGTGACCCGCTTCTCGAGCGCCGCGAGCTCGGCTCCTCCGCCGCCGTACGACACCGAGACGGCGGGTCGCCCCATACGCCAGGCGGAGGCGTGATCGCCTCCTCGCCGTCCTTCGGAGGGTCCCCGACGGCCAGAAGCCGTGCCCACGGAGACATCGTCGGCCTTGCCCCTGGCCGTGGCTGCGACGGCTTCGGCCTCGGCGCGGGCCGCACCTTGTGGGGCGCCACGGCCGCCAGAGCCGCTGGCACTGCCGCACCGACACCGCCTTCCACCGCCTGGGCGTGCACGGCCGACGCGGCCTTGGCCCTGCCCGCCCGCCGACGCTGCGGCGACTCGCCACGGAGCCGACCCGGCCTCCTCGGTGTCCGCCCATGCCATGCGTTGGCTCTGGAGGGCTCCGCCCATTCGAATCGCGCCCCCCCTCAACCCACCTCGGGCGAAAAGGCTGGAGGAAAAAGGAGGAAGAGGAGGAGAAGAGAGAAGAGGAGGGAGGGAGGGAGGGAGGGAGGGAGGGAGGAGGAGGAGGAGGAGGAGGAGGAGGAGGAGGAGGAGGAGGAGGGGAAGGGTCGATCGACACTCGAATATCGAGGAGGAAGAGGGGAAGGAGGAGGGGGAGGGGGGGAGAAGGAGGAGGTGGAAGAGGAGTAGGAGAGAGAGGAGGAGAGGAGGAGGAGGAGGAGGAGGAGAAGGAGGAAAAGGAGGAGGAGGAGGAGGGAGGGAGGGAGGGAGGGAGGGAGGCAGGAAGGAGGAGGAGGAGGAGGAGGAGGAGGCGGAGGAGAAGCAGAAGGAGGAAAAGCAGGAGGAGGAGGAGGACGAGGGGAGGGGGAGAGGCAGGGAGGCGGCGCGCCGCGGCGACGGGAGCAGGAGCCTCCAGCCGAGCGCGCAGGGAGGAGCCACCGCGCTCGCGCCTGCGCCGCCGACGTCCTCCTCGGCCGCACGGCCGGGACCTTTTGGATAGCTTTGGCACGCCGCAGAGGCACGCTGGCGCGCTGGGAGCCTGGGCCAGCCGTGCGGTGCGCGATGATGATGGTGGTTGATGGTGGACGATAAGAAGGACGATGATAATGATGATTCTCGGGTACAGTATGCGGTTGCTTCAGTCAGGCGATCCCAAGCATGGATCAAGGGGTGCGTGGATTAGCGACGGGTCCCGCTTCCATGGGAAATCACGGATTTCCGCCGCCGAGCGAGGCGGCACCGGCCGCACTCTGCGGAGGGCACCTCCCCCGATCCATGGATCTGGCGACCGCGCGCCAAATCCGTGGATCGCTAATCCATGCTTTCGCGCCCCCGATCTCCGCCCGCGTTCCCAGGGATCATTTCGATTCCTCCGATTCAATATTCGATAGATGTCGATTTAGATTCGATGCGACTTCAGATTCCGATGCGGATTCCAACGTCTCGGCGGAGACCTTGTTGGTCTGCCGAGTTCCGCCGATTCGATTTTTCCCGACTCGGCTGCCGATTTCCGCCGATCCGATCCGTTTCGATCGCCGATCCGATTGGTCGATTCGATTCTGGGCTCTCCTGCGTTCCACTACTCGCAAAGTGCCTACTCGCAAGCGTCTGGAAACAAAAAAAGAAATGTAAGGTATCGTAGCCCCACCCCTTCGGCGGATCCAGGCCAGTTGCGAGTGGCTACTTTTCATTGGAACCTCGCGCTTATCCAGAAGCGCGTCGCTCCGCCGATCTCGAGAGGGCGATGCTGTAAATTCCGCTCTTGCCCAGACGAGTTCCAGTGGTGCCGTATGGTCGCGTTCTGGGGGCTCTGGCCCCGCCCGCCCTGCAGCGCCCTCGCGGCGTTCCACGCAGGTCGCAGTTCCCCGCTCGCGGTGCCGCTCCGCTGGGGGCCTCTCGAGGCCTCCCAGATGGGGTCGGAGCAGATGGGCTCGGAGGGTCGCGCCGCATCGCCGATGCATCGGCGATGCGGCCCGATGTGGGGCCCAGTTTTCTCCACGCCGACATCGCCGGTGCATCTCCGACGTCGCAAGAGCATCGCCGATGTGTCGGCGATGCGGCGAGCTCTTCCGACCCCATCTGCTCGGACCCCATCTAGGGGGGCCTCTTGCTTCTCCCTCTTCCCTCCTCGCGCTCGTTTCCTTTTCGCCTTCGTGCCTCCATTCGCTCCCCGTGCACCCCACCAGTTGCTTGACCGGCGTCTGACCGTCTTGGACCCCTTGAGCGACGAAAATAAACGGGGTCGTCTTCGCCGACATCGG